TGCAGCTTGCAAATAATCTGGCTCTACGTTTGTCACTGAGTCAACTTGCTGATTCAACTTGGACTAGAAACTCATTGAGTTAGCTCGGATTAGAAACTCAGGGAGTCTATTCGGAACAGGAACACTAACTCACTGTACACAGGGTGTGGTGAGAGAAGAGGGCCATTTGTCTGTGTTTGCCGTTCATGGCAAGCACCATTTCTCTGCAGATAACATCACACCTGCATCTAGCATTTGTGCTTGGTTGTGAGTGGAGGCATCAACAGACAATAATGGAGCAGAGAGGATTGCGTCTGTGTTTGGTTGTGGATGCGTCTTGCAGGTTGGTGCACAAAAGATTGAGCTGTGCGGTGGCTAGGGTTGTGCCCGAATGGAGATTAGGGCACCATTGGTCGACAAAGACCATGTGAGAGGAGACTACGCAACTAGGTTGCATTTATGACAGAGAGAGCAACTTACGCATTTGCGACAGGGATGAAGTTCGTGGTGTAGCTGCATCTGTTTGCAGTGCAATTGCGTCTGGATATGCTGCTGAAGGCGACTGCGGCTGAGGGATGCTCAAATGGTGCTGGCTAGGGTTGCGTGTCTGGGTAGATTGTGCGATTGTGTGACCGTGTCTGGGATTGTGTGCAGCTGGGCTGGCGAACTGGATCTGGCAATGAAGGTCAGTCTTAGTGGAGATGGCCAGCTATGATGTTGGCTTGTGGTGGAGGTGGCTGGTCTGTGGTGGCCGACGACTAGGGTTGTGGTTGTTGACAATGAAGGCTGACCTCATTAGGGTTTTCTTATTTTGGCAATGAAGATCGAATAAAATTTATAAAAGAGTTGAAAGTTTCTTAATATAAAACTCTAATACCATCTTAAGAATGATTTTTTAATGTATATTCTATTGAAAATTACAACTCTGTATATACAGGTTTTTTAGGATGAAAAAAGAAATACATAATTAATTACAATTAATTACGAAAAGTGTAGTTTACTCTAATATCCTTTAACCTAATTTGTTCTTTCTTTAACAGTGTTCCTCATCCTTTTTCCATTTAGTCTCATGAGGTGTGTTGAATTATGGATAGCTCCTCACTGTTTAAAACTATGGAAAAAACTTTCTCATCCTTTCTGCATTTAGTCTCATGAGGTGTGTTGAATTATGGATAACTACCCGCGATTTAAAACTATGGAAAAAGCACCTTATTTTACAACTAACTATACAGTTTGTCCCTTGGTCATTCACTCTGCTAAAGATTCCTTCAATTTTTTATTTTCATTTCAGAATATAGATCATTAAGCCTGAAAATGTTCTCTTATTAGAAAACACTTTAAAAAGTCCTAACCCTAAAAAACTGGAAACTTATTTTTTCTTTTTGAGAAATATTACTAAAGATTTCTTCTATTTTCTTTTCCACATAACAAAATATAATTGTCAATAACCAAAATCCCTTCACCTATTTCTCAAAACACCCAAAGAATATATGATCAGTGAATTCAGGGGACAAACTATATAGTATGTTGTAAAGTGGATCAGTTTTAAAAGTGGAGGGTCTTTACATAATCAAACAAACATCAGGGTAAATGCACCTTGTTCAATGGCAGTTTAGCTAATCTACGTTGCTATTTGAATGTTCACTTTATTTAATAACTTATTAGACAGTCTGTCCCTTGTCATTCACTTTGCTACCCATTCATATTTTTTTTTTCCGTGTATATATATTTGTTTCCAAAATATCCTATCTTATTCCTTATGAGAACACTAAAAATCCTTGACCCTAAGAAACTGGATTTCTTTTCTCTTATTGGGAAACTTTTAAAGATTTCTTAAACAGTATATTTTATTAATAACCAAGAATCTCTTCACCTTTTTCTTAGAGCTCTAAAAAATTGATAATTGGTCAATGATTGACAAGGCACAAACTGTAGTAGTCTTTAAATTAGACTGTTTTCTGTTTAGTTTTAAAGTGAGGGTTTCTACATAATCAATCAACCATCAGGGGTAAATGGACTTTATTTATTGGCAATCTTGCTAATGTATTGTGCTATTTGAATGTGCAGAGGGTGCCACAGAGTTCACTATTTCCCTTCTTGAATCTTTGGTCACTGATGAGTCCAGAGTTGTCTCAGAACTCCATAATCTTGTTGATGCATTGGCAAAGGTCAAGTCCATTTTTATTTCTGTACATTCTTGTCTTTCTTATCTATGAAGTTCAATAAGTACCTGTTACTCTTGTTTCCTACCATGCCTTCTGTAGAAAAATTGAGTATGCATCCCAAAAAAATGAAATGAGGAAGGTTTGAAGAGATGATATCATCAATGTCCAAGCATAGAAAGTGTAATATTGTTGTATCATAAGTGTTAATGGATTTTCTCGAACTTTATTATTCCAATGTGGAGAAAATTGGTACAAGGGAGTCTTGCTGATTTCCATGCACTGTTTATAACTGATCTGTACTTGCAGCTTGCTGCCAAACCTGGTTCTCTGGAGTCTTTGCAGCAACTAATTGAGATTATCAGGAATCCAGTTTCAAGCGCTGCTGCTCTCTCTGGTGTTACCGTTGGAAAAGAGGATAAAGCTAGGCAATCAAGAGACAAAAAGGTTAGCTGGACTTATTGTTTACCACTTATGGTCTTAGAGTACTTCAGTGATCAAAAAATTTTGACATCTTTCTTTTTTCTGAGCTTTTCTTCTTAATGGTAACAGGCACCTGGTCACACTACAGCAAACAGAGAGGAGAATAGCAGTGTAGAGCCTTTGGATCCAGATCCTGCTGGGTTCCGGGAGCAGGTAAATTTACTTTATTTGGTTAAAGTATTCCTAGGTGGAAAAAAATCTTTCTAGAAGGCATGACTATTCTAACATTGAGTAAGTTAATGATTCATTTCAATACCATGGGTGCAATAAAGGTAGGTAATGCGGTGGAGAGAACTGGACCCTTTTTATTTGGTAGTACATGAATTTTTAAGTAGTGAGTTGCCTGCTTGTATGAGTAGTCTTCTTGCCTGCATTGTGAATGACACTGACAATCATAATTGCCAAATTTAGATTCCAATCAAACATTGAAATTGTAAAACTTTGAAGCAAGAAGTACATAATTAGATTTGGAGCATTTCTTGGATCAAAATTTAATACTTGTATATATGTTAAACAAAAAATGCTTAATAATAGAAACTTAAAAGAAATTTAGCAAAGTATTATATGTAGTATTGACATTGTATTAGAAAATATTTATCTTTAAATACAGTATTTATTGAAAATCCTAACAAAATATTCATGTTGTAGTTTATTTTTGTCTATATTTTATGTAGAATAAGGAGATCTTAATTTGAAATAAATTTTCTATTAAAATTTTTTATAACTATTATTATTTTGTATTTTAAAATTATATAGGTTATTTAGGCATTATAATGTTTTAGTTTTCTTCTAAGTAGGTTTTAACTAATTTAAGAATTAGAATTAGATTTTCCTTTTCTATAATTTTTTTTTGTAAGTTGTATCTAATGCGTAATGAAGACTTGTAGCTTCCCCAAAGATAAAACGGTAATTGATTAACAATTTTTTTGTTACCTGTTGGCTATCTCTCTTCAATCCTATCATAATTGTTTTGTCTAACTTAGTTTGTTTAGTTTATTTCTCTCTTTTTTTCTTTACCTTAATATCTAATTTCCTCCAGCCAATCTTTACTTTTCTGTTTCTTACCTAAATTTTCTATGCTTAAACTATCTGTGGACAAGTTAGTTTCAATGCTGTTTGTTACACACCAGTTGATCTCACAATGCATCCTGTCAGTTTCACTAGAAAGAGACCTAATCTTTTTCCTGCCTTTTCTTTCAAACAAATTCTGAAGTCCGCACCAACAACTTACTATAACTGGTCTCAGCATAGATCCGCAGCAACCACTAAGCAGTGGCCTTACCAAATTTTAGCCCTTGATTCCATTGGAAAACGTCTTATTCATTGGCAAAAGAGAGGATCGTAGTTATGTCCTAGATTTCTGCCCTCTTGTCCATTGCGAGTGACACTAACCACTGAGATAGAACCATTATAGCAAGACGAATCCATAGCTGGAACATTAACCCTCACTGATGAATGAGGACTGATGCGTTTACTTACGTGTGCACACCTATGACTAGGAATTTTCTTGTTGACCAGTTCCAACAGGTTAACCAATCTGATTTGAACAGTCCGGTTCAGATCCTTTCAGACTGGTTTTTGACATGTTTTAGACTGGTTCCTAAGGTTTTAAAATGTATTCTACCCATTTTCAGGTTACTTTGGTTAGAGTCACATCTTATAATCATTTTCAAAGCAGATCAACAGTAAATGTGACAACTCATCATGGAATTCAACATAATTCTGGTTACAATTCATGATACAATCTACCTAATTATATATGATATATTGTGCCAAATTTTTGGGTCTTATGGATGCATAGAGAGTATTCAGATACATCTAAAATTAATTCCTATTAAATTCTCTTGACAATCATTGCATATATAGTAACTGTTGTTAGTTAAGTACTGACTATGAAATAAACTTACACTTAGAAGCTAAGAAAGCATTGGGTTCTACAAGAATTAAAGACTGAGGTTAAGAGTAGAATTAACACTTCTCCTGTGTTAGAAGATGAAAAACATGATGCTCCTTGCTAATCACCAATTCTAACTCAAGAAATATTAGTTCATGTTTAAGTTTTTTATCTTCACGTTAATGATGTTGAGCAACTTATTCCAGTCAGTAATCTTGTTCTACCTACTATCCATGATAACTGCATGAAACATATTTCTTCGGATGATTTCATTTGGACTCCTTGGTTCTATGATATGATAGAACATATAATTTTGATTAACTTAACTCTCAATTTTTCTATGGGGATTATCAAAAACCTCGACTTTTTTAAGATTTTAAAGAGCATGTTTAAGCTTTTTCTATCTTGATGCTCCACTGCTTCAAAACTCAAGTCAAGTATTCGCCAAGTGGATAGAAAAGTGTAGATCAATATTTTAATTTGTAAAAGAATTTCCATTAATTTCTTTTTATTAATTGTTAATGGTACTTACTATTTTCAAGTTTAAGTTTATCTGGACCTTATAATATATTTTTTTCTTTTTAGGTAGATTTTTTTAGTATTATAAGGATTTGAATCTTTAACGTTGATCTTTAATAATTTTCCTTACTAGTGGTAACTAATGGCTATGCAAAGGCTAGCAGCTAGTGACAAAAAGAATGAACTACGGTGAATTAAAAATTTCTTTGTAAGGTTTTTATTAGTTGTTATGTCTCTCTTAGTTCATTCTTATTTTTTTTTTGTCTAACCTATTTCATTGAGTCTAGTACTCCTTATATTTCTTCACCTTGATCCCTAATTTTCCTTGACAAATCTTTTTATTTTCTATTTCTTACCTGAATTTTCTCCATTTCTAAGCTATTTGTGGAATAAGTTAGTTGAACAGCTGTCATCATCTCTCGTGCTGTTTAGTTCTTATTTTCTTTAATATAATTATGTTTTCCATCTGATTAAACTTTCAAGTTCCTTGGTCATACACATCTGTATATGTGTGCAAAAGATTAAATTTATTCTAAGAAACTGAAACCCACAAGCTATTAATTTAAAAGTTAAGAAGAAAAGTAGACAATTCTATGAATTGTTCCCTCAAAATGAGAGTCACATCTAATTTAACAACCTTTCTGTGTGAAATGGATTTTTATACTTTGGTTCAATTCAGGTCCAAATCAAAGTTTGGTCTGATCAAGTTAGATCCAATGGTATCAGGATCGGCTGAAGTTCAGTATTCAACTTGATTTTGTAGGATTCACCACTAATTCTCTCAATTTTCTGTTGCTTGATATATTGGGGTTTATCTTGTACATTTGAATCATTTTTCTTGTTAATTGGATGATTCTAAGTTTTATCTTATTATCCTAACAATATTGCTTGTGGTGCATTCTTATCTCCCTTAAGTGCATGAATGTCGTAGTCCAATACATCCAACTTCCCCTCACTTTTTCCCTTTATTATAAATCTTTTGTAGGTCTCCATGTTGTTCGCAGAATGGTACCAGATATGTGAACTTCCTGGGACAAATGATGCAGCTTGCACCCATTTTATTTTACAGTTGCATCAAAATGGACTACTTAAGGGGGATGATATGACAGAACGCTTTTTCCGCATACTAACAGTTACCTTTCATCTTTGAGAGAGATTTGATTCAGTATTTAAGAATTGTCCTCTGGAATCCTGGAGATTAACCTTTTCTTTTTCTTTTTAAATTTTAGGAACTTTCCGTTACTCATTGCATTTCTAATGAGGTGCTTAATGGTCCATTGCAATCACCTCAGCAAGTGCAGAGTCTATATCTTGCTATTGATATATATGGGAAACTGGTGTTTTCAATCTTGAAGGTAGTCATCCTTCTGAACTATATTTTCATATGGTCTCCTTTGCCCTTGGATCCATTTACATTGTGTTAACATCTTTGGTTATTACATATACAGTTTTGCCCAATGGAGCAGGGATCGAGCAAACTCTTCCTCATGTCAAAGGTGAATACTGGAATAAATTTGCATTTCCTTTTAATTTTTTTTTTATCCATTTTTGTCAGAGTGATGTATTATTTTGACATGACAGATTTTGACTGTGACCGTGAGATTCATTCAAAATAATGCTGAGGAGAAGAAGTCATCTTTTAATCCGAGACCCTATTTCAGATTGTTTATTAACTGGTTGCTAGACCTTGGTTCCTTAGACCCTCTTACAGACAGTGCAAACTTTCAAGTACGAGTCCTTCACATATTTGTATCCTATTTCTTTGTATTGAATGTCTAATGTTTGTTGTTTTACTGCAGATTTTGACTGCTTTTGCAAATGCATTCCATGCTTTGCAACCTCTTAAAGTTCCTGCATTCAGGTTAGGTCCTAATTTTTGCTTAATCATTGGCTAAGAGTGAGACTTCATGAATTTATTCACCAGACTAATTATTATAATCTCTTTGAATTCTTTCAAGCTTCTTATTTTAGAAAATAACCTAATCTATTATTAGGTAGTAAGTTATTGGTAATCGCATGGAATTCTCTGCAAGCTTCTGATTCAGAAGATAACATAATTAATTATTTGCAATTTTTGCTAGTCAAACAGAAATAACCGTCTATTTACCATGAAATGTTTTTATCAGCACTTTTGAGTTTTTGACATGCTTAAAGCTGTAAACGGAAAAGGATGCACGAGCATAAAAGAGGAGAAGAAATACCCTTATTATAGTATCTTGTTCATGAAATATCTCTTTATTATAATCTAATGGGAGTTAGGCCATTGGATTGTGTTCAGCTTTGGCCTATTTGCTTGCAATTTTAGGAGATTACGTTCGGTTGTGAAAAACCGAAGATAGATAACTTGCTAAAGAGCCCAACTTTTTGCTAGAAATTTTACATTAGAAAGATTTGACATAGCTGTTGTTGAACTGGTCTTCAGCTTTGCATGGCTCGAGTTGGTGAGTCATAGGAGTTTCATGCCGAAATTACTCACAGGAAATGGTCAGAAGGGTTGGCCATACGTCCAGCGCCTTCTGGTAGACTTGCTTCAGTTCCTGGAGCCATTTCTGAGACATGCTGAGTTAGGAGTGCCGGTTTGTCGCAAACTGTCCTGTTCTTATTTGGAGCAGTTTAGGACCTAAGCATGATTTTTTTGACTCATTCTTCTGTGGGATGCCTATGCAGGTCCACTTTCTTTATAAGGGTACACTGAGGGTGCTGTTGGTGCTACTTCATGACTTCCCTGAGTTCCTCTGTGATTATCATTTTACTTTCTGTGATGTAATACCCCCAAGTTGCATACAAATGCGTAATATCATTCTCAGTGCTTTTCCTCGCAATATGAGACTTCCAGATCCATCTACTCCCAACTTAAAGGTATAATAAAGATTTGTAATTTGGAGATAGTTTAGCATAAACTGATCTTTTCTTGGTATCCTACAGATTGATTTGCTTCCAGAGATAAGAGAACCCCCTCGGATTCTTTCTGAGGTTGATGCCGCTCTCAAAGCGAAACAGATGAAGGCTGATGTAGATGAGTATCTGAAGGTGCTTGGAAATCATTGTTTTTGAGTATTGGCCTGATATTTGGTTCCTTATTGCAATATGAGGAAAACTCATTTATACTTTCTCCTTGTTTATTATACCTGAACCGTCTTAATAAGATAATGCTTCGGTTTTGGTGTTTTTCTCCGAACTGTTCTTTCTTGTTTACCTTCAATCAGGATTTAATTGTTTCAAAATTTTCATCACCATCATTCTTTACCAGTTATAAAATATTTTGAAAATCCTGCAGACAAGGCAACAGGGTTCTTCTTTTCTGTCTGAGCTGAAGCAAAGATTACTCCTTTCCCCCAGTGAAGCTGCTTCTGCTGGTACCCGTTACAATGTGCCATTGATAAACTCTCTTGTTCTTTATGTTGGAATGCAGGTATTTTCTGATTCTTTTTCTACTACCGTGAATACGTCTTTTGGTTCTGATCATCCCAGTAATGGAGTTAATATATTTGTAATATCTGTTCTTGTCATTTAATATATTTGTAATTACTGTTCCTTGTCATTACACACACACACACACGACACATATACGCACACGCATTTATTCTTGCATTTTATCTCTCTCCCATCTATTATATTGACTGTTCTTTGGTATTTATTCAGGCCATTCAGCAACTGCAAGCAAGAACGTCACATTCACAATCAACAGCAAATGCTGTTCCCCTGGCTGTCTTCTTAGTTAGTGCTGCCCTGGATATATTTCAAACTCTAATTCTGGACCTAGACACTGAAGGACGCTACCTATTTCTTAATGCCATTGCTAATCAACTACGCTATCCGAACAACCATACACACTACTTTTCTTTCATCCTACTGTACCTATTTGCCGAGTCAAACCAGGTTAGGATTTTATTTATGCTGTTTCACATATTTCTATTTCTATACATGGACGAGGTGGAATCTTGGTTCTTTTTTATGGTCCCTCCATTGCATTTGTTACATTCGTTGTCATTTTGGAAAATCTGTGCTACATGTGCTTAATGATTCTTGATCTACTAAAGATAAGCTAAAGGTCTAATTTAGAAGATTTCTCACTTCAATTTATACTATTATGGCAATGCCAATGGAATCTATTACTTTTTAAAATGGTTTAAATTGATTGAAAGCTTTTATTATTCACAATTTCCATGGCATTGTGGTAATTCAAGATTGTTAAATTGTTAACTCCTGGCGGGAGAGTCTTGGAAGGTCATGGGATAATGAAAGTAAGACAATCTTATTCAAAAGGATAAATGACATTCTGGAGAAATTCAAGTGAAAGTAAGACAATGCAATTTCAATCCCATCAAAGTGTTTGTAATTTTATTGTTGTTTCAGTTTACTTGAAATTCATGCGAGATTAATGTTTATCATCTTCTAGTAGAATTTTCACCTCTACTAGTTGAACCCTGTTTGGATTTGTAAGTGATTCCTGAATTAAAGTTCATTTGTTTAAAACATAGCCTTGGTTTTCATTGGGATGATTTCATATTTAATTTGGCTCTGGAATCTATTATCATAATTAACTGTTATCTGTTGCATATTTAATTGCCAAAATACTTTTGCCTTGGGCAGGAAATTATCCAGGAGCAAATAACAAGAGTATTGTTGGAACGCCTCATTGTTAATCGACCTCATCCATGGGGTCTTCTCATTACCTTCATTGAGCTAATCAAGGTGATTATTCAATTGAAAGAAAAATTTCCATCTGTTGAGTTTTATGGCTTTCATTTTCAATGGTTGTTTGATCGGAGGTAGTTTAGTTTTTTTAATTTAAATTTTTGGGTGAAAATTGCAGAATCCTAGATATAGCTTCTGGAATAGAGCCTTCATAAGATGTGCTCCGGAGATAGAGAAGCTCTTTGAATCTGTTGCAAGATCTTGCGGGGGCTTAAAGCCTGTGGATGAGAGTATGGTCTCAGGCTGGGTTTCTGACAACACCCATTAGGATCTCCGGACATGTATACAGCTCTGTATTTCATTGATGGAATTGTAGACCAAAGAGAGTCGATGTCTAGCCCATGTAAATACATTGTGATTGCTTCTTTTTTCTGAAAGCATCAATAGTTTCGGTTGTATTTTAATGTTTAGGGGTTTGAGTGTTGAAGACGTTGCTTGCACATATAGGTGTTACATCGTTTGTGTTGTTTGCAGATGGAATTATATTTGAGCAGCAGTGTTTTTTTTTTTTAAAAAAAAAAAAATTAAGTTAGCTGATAGGCAGTTTATTTCGATAGTGCTCATAAACAGTTAATAATATTGAGTTACAAGCACTCCTGCAGTATCCTCGCTATTCCATTTGGTTTATCTCTCATCCATTCAATGTCTAGTTAATTTTTAATCATTGTTGTGTGTTATGATGATTAATAAATTATCAATATGGACAATAACAAAGCAACTGTGTACCATTTTATCCTTAGGTGTTTAATCTCAGCTGGCATTGCTACAGATATATTTATTTATTGTCAAACTGAATTTTTGTAACATTCTACTCAGAAATTTTAATAATAAAATAAAATTTTAGTTCAGTTTGAAAAAGAGTATGGAATAGTTTATCATTTAGTTTGAAAGAAAATTTAAAGAGCTTAGCTGAGAAAGAGATTAGGTTGAAACTTTAAAAGAGTCTAAGGATTTCTATTTATAATTAGCAAATCCTTTCTTTTTTGTAATTTGCACTTAAAAATGCAAATTATTATTTTAATCCAAAAAGTTAACGTGAAATCTAAAGCCGAAAGTGTCCCCAAAGTTTCAAAAGCTTTTCAACCACATCCAAAGAGTCAACATGGCAACTCGGTTTGCTAATTTGAAGAAACAATGGCACCATCAAAAAACCAATTCCTGGAAAATGAAAATGCACAATAATAGAAAAACCAGAGAGAAAAGGAAGGAAAACCCTAACCGGAAATTTTTTTGGAAATCCAAACACATACGTCATGTTTTTGAGAAGAAGAAGAGTATTGTTGTGGATATTTGAAGAAGAACAAGTTAACGGATTGAGAAAGAAGACTAAGTTGACTCTGATGTGAACTATGAACTCAATTGGTGAATACAATGTTGGTGGAGTTAATTTACAAAATATTTTTTTTATTTTACTTCACAGAAAAATGTGTATTTGTGGATTTTTTTTTCGAAAATGTACATTTATGAATATTGTGTTAGATTTTGCATTGTTTATTGTTGTAAAATAATAAGGTAAAATAATATTTACAAACGTGTGAGTACCCACATTTCCAGCCATATATATGTGTGCGTATATAAATATATATTTCTAATTTTTTTGGAATTTGACAATTCTCTCCACTTGAACATTAACCTTGTTCTCAAGGTTGAGATTCAACCTCAATTTTTGGTGTCAAAAAATATTACTAGTATTTTATTATAATTATATGTATATTATTATATATATGTGTATATATATATTATATATATTTTTTTGCATACTACTGAAGAATTCTATGGATATTTTGTATTGTTCTTCTGTTCACCATCCAGAGGTTGATCATTTTTACTTTTCTATCTTCTTCCTCATATGTTTCCATTGTCATGACTACTTTTTCTTTATATTGATGCTTCAGAGAGTATTTTTCCCATATATATAGCAAAGATTGTTCCTTATTTTTGTATGATTTGGACTCTTCAAGCGTGCTGCTTCTTGAAAATTCTAAATTTTATAAGAATTTTCAGTTATGGAAACACTCTTGTTAGAAGAAGTTATAGAGTGTTTTGACTTATTGTGGCGGTTGATGACATTAACTGTTTATTCTTACCATAGAGCTAACTTAAATATTTGAGTCAAGATGCATGGCCTGTGTATCCTTACCATCCATTGAATTTCAACCTTCAGACCACTTGTAAAAGTGGAGATGAAATACTTTTTAAAAAGTCTCTAGTTCTCTGTTAAGAACAGAGACCTAATTTTTGCAATTTTTTCTTGATATTGGACAACGGTATCTCCTGGATCAATTTATTGAATTTTTTCGTAATATCAACTCGTGCTAATCCTACAAATGTTCTACACAATTTCGCCTTGAATACTTATCATTCAAACATATTAAACGCTCTACACAATTTTACCTCAAATATTTATCATTTAAATATATTTGGGTCATTTATTAACGTATGGAACTAGATCTCTACCTTGTCTCTAAGATACAATAAGGTTGTTTCTACTTTACTGTCTTTTGGGATGTTGAAAATATAAAAATACTAGTTACATCATCTTATCCACGCTCTAGAATTTTGCCTATAAAAAATAGGAATTTCAATTTTTAAGACAGGGTTACCAGTTTGGTTACCCCTCTAATCTGAAATACCAACCCAATTTTCTTAGTTCTTGAGTTTGGTAATATTTCTCTATCAATATTTAAAATAGAGGCGGAGGAACTTACTCGAGCGGATGTTTCACCAATGTACATATTACTTTGCATGAATTTGGTGAGCTTTTCTAGTTGTTGGCTAAACATAATCAATCATTAGTCCAATATGGCTTAGGTTTGCTTTTGTTATTCATAGATTTTGGATTTGAAATCTGAGAATTTTTTATCCAGTTCACGTATATTTTCCTCCAACATCTTTATCTTTTGCAGTTCGTATACCGTAGATTTGCCTTTATTTTTTACCATGGTCACGAAACTTATAAGAGTTACATCATAATCGAGTTGCTCTGACGCCAAGTTATCTATTTTGGGTGAATCACATGTCCAAGCCGAGTCCTGATAACTTGACATCAGTGTAGTTTGATTCTAATAAAACTTTTATAAGTTTCATAACTATGGTGAAAAATAAAGGCAAAACTACAGTGACCGAACCGCAAAAAATAAAGAAGTTAAAGGAAAATATACATGAGTTGGATAAAAAAATATCAAAATTTAAATATGAAATGTATGAATCACAACATCAGACCCAAGCCATAGTGGACCAAAGACTGATTATGTTTGGATAACTGGAAAGACTCACTGAAATCGTGCAAAGCAATATACAAGTTAGTGAAACAACCACTCAAGTAAGTCCCTCCATCTCTATTTTAAATATTGATAGAGAAATATTACCAGCCTCAAGAACCAAGAAAATAAGGGTTGCCAATTCAGATCAGAGGGGTAACTAAACTGGTAAGTCTGTCCTAAAAATTGAAATTTCTATTTTTAATAGCAAAATCTTATAACATGGATAAGATGATGCAACTAATATTTTCATATTTTTAATATCCTATAAAACAATAAAGTAAAAACAACCTCATTGTATCTTAGAGATAAAGTAGAGATCTGGTTCTATGGGTTAACATTTGACCCATATATGTTTGAATAAGAAGTATCAATGTGAAATATGTAGAAGGTTTAGAGGATAGCTGGAGTAATATATGGAGGAATTCAACAAATTAATCCAAAAAGATACTGTCCTCCATATCAAGAAAAATTTGAAGAAATGAAGTTTTTGTTATTAACAGAAAACTTGAGATTTTCTAAAAAATATTTCATTTCTAGTTTTGCAAAAGATTTGAAGGATGAACTTCGACCGATAGGATGCACAGACAGTGCACCTTCACTAAAGCATTTGAGTTACCTTCATGGCAAGAACAAGGAGTAGATGCCGTCAACTGCCACAATAAGCTAAAACACTCTATTGTTTGATTTTTTCTAACGTATGGGTTTAATATGGACCTTAATATGCGTATCAAGTTTAATGGGCTCATTTAAAAATAATCAAATATGGTTAAACAATATTGGGCTTTAATGCATTGAGTTTAAGTATATGATTGTAATGTGTAGATACTTTTTTTTTTTATAATATTCTCATTTTTTGATGAGTGAAAAGGAAATTGTAAAAATTAATCGATATAAAAGGCAGTTATGGTCCCCGAATAAGAAGGTTTTCATTTTATTTTTCTAAAATTTCATCACCAGAAAAAATTAGTTTCAAGGCGCCGCGTTGATTCAGAAGATCCTATCGCCGGATGCGAACAAATCTTCTGCGATGGATTCAGGTACACTTCCACTTATATTTCTTTTTAATTCAGTACGAGAATGTATGTTTAATTTTTACAGAGTTATGAATTTGAAAAGAAATTTTATTCTAACATTTGATATCAGAGTCATTTCTCATATTTTTTGAGAAATTTTTTTTTTATGTTATTATATAATTTTGGTTTCATATTCAGAATTTTAGATTTTGAATTCTATTTTGTTTAGTTAAAAATATATGCAGAAAACTAAGGAATATATATATATACATATATATTAAGAAGTTAAATATTGTGAAACAAAAAAAAAAATAGAGCAGTGGCCGACCGCCACTGCATGAGGAAGAAAATTCGGCGATTCAGCAACCGCTCGGCGGCCGAAACAGATGCCAAATTTAGTCTTTAACAGCTGTAGCAATTAATTCAATTTAAAAAAAAATTAAAGGCAGCTATTACAGGCTACATAAGTTTAATTTACTGTTTAATTATCTGCTTAAAATTTAAAGGGAAAAGGGTTTTGGGCTAAATAGTTTAATTTTCTATTTTTATATTTATTAATGTGGGCTTTGTCCATAAGAATAAAAGAAAAGCAAGAAAATAAGGGAAAAGGAGAGCCCATTCAAATGGCCTAAAACCTAGTCCTGTTTGGGCCGGACCCAACCTGACCCAAACCCGACGGATGTTGACCCGAACCGATCAACGTTTGACCGGTCAACAATCAACTTTTTTTATAAAAAATTGTTTTAATTTCTTTCTAATTCAGTTTAAATTCGATTTTCATTTTGAATTTTAATATTGGTATATGAATATACATATTGAAATAATTTAATTACACAACATATGACCAAAAGTGACATTTCTTGTGGATAATTTATTTATTTCATAATGTAAATAGTTGTATGTATGTAATTTATGTGAATGTTAATCGACCCAAAAGAAAGTTAATAATTAACATTATTGCATTCCATTTTTGAGGTAATGAATATGTGACAGTTATTCAGTATGACATGTGAACTTTAAATTAGCTTCAAGAAAGGTTTATTGTTTGATGTGTTTTTACTGTCTGTATTTAATTACTGTTACAGGATACCACTTACAAGTTAATATTATGTCCAAAGATAGAGTATTAATGAAGTGCTCGGTATCTTGAGATAGAAATATACCTTTATTTAAAATTTATTATTAAATTTTACGATTTATAATTTTATGTAAGTATT